AAGAAAAGAAAAAGAAAAAGCCCCATTCACAGAAAGACAGATAGGTTGTCATAAAGGGAGGAGGAAAAGACAGGAACAGTGAGGAAATGTGCATCAAACAGCTGTGCGGTACAGAAAGTTTGGATTATGCAGGAGAGAAAGAGAGAAATACAGGCCTTCTGTTCTATTTCTGTCAGAATCTCTTATGCTGACATGCTTCATTTCACCGGCTACAAAATACACTTGCACACAGAGCGCTTGAGACACCTGAGATTACGCCCTCAGTGTAATCTGTGCATGTACCCGAGGTGTGTACGGTCCAGGGTTAAAGGGGTCTAAGCTCTCAAGGTCTGCAGCATCCAGAGCAGCTTCTTTAGCAGTAGAGATGTCTTTTTCCAGTTGAGTCAGGTGTTCATCATACTAACAGACACATACACATTAAACATTTCAAAAACAAGTCAAAGCACATGAAAACAGCAAAGAGCTCGCTCACTTGCACACAGACATACCTCTGCTAGAGTCTGCTTACAGATGTTTACAATCTCCAGAGATGTTTTGGTGTAAGGACTATCAGGTCCTGAAAAAGTAAAAATGTACATAAAGGTGAAACCACAATTTTTGTTGAGATGAAACAGCATTTTCATAACTAAAAGATTCATGTTTCTCACCATTGTAGTTGACACTGTTGGTGTGAATGAGACCGACATCAAAAAGAAACACCTCTCGGTTCTGATACTTGTGTTTGGAGATGTTCTACACACAAACACGCACACAATTCAGAGATTCTTAAATAAATCACATTTTAACGGAAGATTCTTGCATCAACACGCAGATCGTCCTGACCTTACGGAGTGTGTCCAGATCCATGGGATTGATGATGACTTTATAATAATCAGGAACAAATTTCTTGTTAACAGGATGATGGAAGGGCCAGGACTACAGAGAGAAAGATAGATATTAACTAATTAAGAAAAAGCAATTAACTTCATTTTTACAGATTAGCTGGTCCTCTCTTTTGATGTCATAATACTTTGATAATTTTATGTAAAAATTTAAATATCCCTACATTTCATATTTGGATTAAATAGGTGTTTACTTGTATAATGTTTTTGGTAAAAAGTCACTGAGCACTTACATCCATGCCCGCCTTTGTATTTTTTATTTATATACATTTTTAATTAATTTTATTTTACTTATTAATTTATTTATGC